ATTATGATTTGAAAATGCAGGGCATCCAACCTGAAGGAACAGCCCAGTCACGAGCCATAGTGGAGGTGCAACGTTACTTGGAAGATAAAATTATACCCCGGACGGAATGCCCTATGGCTTGGTGGAGAGCCCACAGATTTGTCTACCCAAACCTGTATAAAATCGCGGTGACAAAAATGAATGCCATGGCGTCATCTGTACCCTGTGAACGGGTATTCTCCGCAGCAGGGTACCTAATGAATGACAGGCGAACACGCCTCGGGGTCAGAAAATTGCAACACCTGCTTTTTCTGCACCAGAATTTGTAAATATTAGATAAGTTTAAACTTGTAAATATGTACATATTCTACTGTAAATATCAAATCATGTACATACAATCAATTCCAAACTTTTAAATGCGCCAGTTTGTTATGCCCTTAAATATAATTAATAATATATTATGGACTATACTACAGAGGAAATAAAAATATAATCATATAGGTAATGTGTATTGCACAGCAAAACACAAATCTTCACCACATGACACCAGCACGCGTAGCATGACGAACGCGAGAACGTTTTGTCTACACTCAAATGTCACTTTTCTCGGGTGCGCCTATACGATATCTCACTCTCGACCCGAGAAACTGACAAACGAGTCTAGACAAAGCGTTTCTCGAGTTTGTCATGCTACGCGTGCTAAACAGAAAAATAGAATGCATTATCTATCTTGACAAACTGACAGTCCTAAGCCTGATAAGCATGAAGGAAAGTTTTGGATTGTTTTTACTAGGCCTTAGCTATACTAATTTTGATTGTAGTTAGAAAATAACAGGCTGTTTTTTTATAACAGGTTTTTGGAACTGTTAAATTTAGATAACAAGAACAGCTGTAACAGGTATTTGATTTAACCTGTTACGACTCATCATTACTATCCACCAGTGCATATTTTATGAGGAATGTTATTAATGAAGTTGTTATACTGTCTAACCGTTTAGTTGACACTGTGCAACGGACGTAGCGCGGCCCATATTGTGCGGTGGCAAATTGTTTCTAGATGCATTCAGCAGCCGCATGCGATGTTTTGCAACCTGCGAGCATAACGGAAATTGGACTCGAGTTTATGTGTATACGTTTACAAAGTACCGTTCGTCTATTTATGTTGGAGTTGTCTTAGAAAATTGTAGAAGTCTTTATAGTATACGCATAGTTATAAAATTAGTTCTGGCGTCCCGAGCCTAAACCTCAGTAATAGCAAAAACAAGCAACGGAGAAAACAAGCGTGAAGTTTAAATTTTACATATCTTTAAAAAAATCACTATTTATGATCAAATTTTCAATGCAAAGTTTAAGAAAAGCTTGAATTCTAAAATAATTCACAATGTTCAAAACATGAAAAATAAATAAATTAAAGCATTACAATTTTAATACTGCTTCTAGTTCTTTTTTTCATTAAATCGTATTTTAAACTATTGAAAATGCATTAAATTATATTAATTAACTAAAATGCAGTAATTAGTCAAAATTCTTACTGCAAATTAGAAGATTATCTAAGCGTAGTTTCAGATAAATTTACAAATTTGGCCCCTTCATTTAAAATAAACAAAAAATACTATTACTGATCTTCAAAAACAATGTATAAGTTAGGCTTGTAGAGTTTGAATTGGGCTTTCAGATGATATGAATTTTGCCGTTACTGCGGTTTAAGCTCGGGAGGGCAAGGGTGATGCACATTGATCACTAGATGATGCCCTTGACTTCGTCCGTGGGACTGTAGATAAATAAGTAAATATTTATTTATTGAAAGTCTTATTGTCAGTTGCACAAATGTCTCCAATTGTGATTAGTTTAAAGTAACATTACCGATACCAGTTTTCAAATTAATAACATAAATTAGAGCTTAAAAGGTGTCATTAAAACTTAATGGACGTGGGTGCAACTGGTTATAGAGTGCTAGGTGTAAAAGTAGATTATTGTAATATTTTCTCGTTCACAATGCCATAATGACTATTATAATATTAAGAAATTCTTAAAAAATGCATTATTACTGTAAGTAAAGAAACAAGCCCTTATAACATCTGACAGTTATACTAAGCTCTTTTAGGCAGAGTAATCTGGATAGCTAAAAGTTATGTATGAATTCGCCTCCCGTCTCTATACCTGAGATTATTTATTTTTCTAAAGTATTTTTCTGTAAAATACTCATCAATATAGTATTGAAAACGAAAAATTTTACATAAATAATTATAACGTACTTTTGTGTTACACAAAACTTAAAATATTGTAGAAAATAATTATGTCTTTCAGCTATTTAGATATTCCTGAAAATTTAAGGGGATGTGGACACTAGCAGTGAAAAAGAATGCTTGAGAAATTCGAAATTCTAACTAATCATTAACAGTAACTTGATTGATTATCCATACAGGCAACACCAATATGATCATAATCGACCTCTTGGTGTCGAAATTGGTTCAAACAAAAACTGTTTGTGACTCGATTGGGGTCTAACGAGGTCTGAAAATAACCAACTTAAAACAAGAGCTTACAAAAACAGATCACGAAAATTTATTATCAAATTGTTTAATTATTATTACTATAATAATATTATGCAAATAAAGTGGAAGTATCAACACTAACAATACTTAGTAGTATCAGATTGATGCGAGAGAAACTGATCATCGGAAAAGTACACCACAGTGCTACGGCATATTTTCTGCGCATCAAGAAACACAAAGAATGCAACGACTAAACATGTGTCAGTTAACTCGATTGAAGTGGCCACTATCGTATAGTGTGACCACACTTAACAGTTTTTTTTTTTTAATATCACCAACTTCTAATTTTGAAAAAATGTTAAATAACACTTATCTACAAAGTGGTTTAATTATTGAAAAAACTATTGTTGAAGTCTCGAGTAAGTTTTCTGTAGGTTATTGATAACCACCCGACTTCAATAGCAATTTCCATAAAATTCATGTAGGACCATATGAGGAGAAAGCTGTCTAATGAAAAAAAAAATTTCTATATCAAAGTCATAATCGAAGCGATAACAACCTTTTATTATTTTTATGAATGAGCAGGACTACTATATGGTGGCTAAATTAAAGTATGACAAACTAAACTTCAGCTTAGTTAAACAATACTATTTATGAAGACTGTAAAAAAAATATTACATGTATGTTCCCTACATGTCTTTGTGATTGTATAAAAACAATTAAATAATATTTTGTTAGTATTAAACCACATAGTTTATGTATATCTGAGACCACGGTTAAATCAAAATTAACGTCATGGAAAATGCATATATATATATTTTTATAAACTAAGGTTGATATGCTATATATATTCAGTGGCTGTTTTCTCACGACTTAGCCTACGTAAATTTTAGCCTAGATATTTCAACCGCGTATGGTATTGCTTCCCGTAGGTGAAAGAATTTTTTAAATCGGAACAGAAGTTTCAAAGCATCAACATCAGCCCTTTTACGGTCCCAGTACAGGGGCTCAGACATTCCTTATGGATTATTAAGGAGGATGGGTCATAGGGTCATCATGACCTATCCTCCTCTACGCAGTCCCGAAACGAATTGGAGAGTATTAACTACCACAAAATGCAGCCGGCACCAACACGGAGTAGTTCAACAAATAATAAATCAAGTTTTTCCTCTTTGTAATATAAGTAAAGATGTGTAATTGTAGCTGAATGTTAATAATAAAAAATATATATATTTTGAGTTCTTTAAAAAAATATATTTTGGATTTTTACTCAACCTGTCACTAACATCAAAACACCACATATCAATCTCTTATACTCCATCTAACAAAACAACGAATGAAATAACAATTCTATGTAAATTACATTTCGTGAACCACGAAAGCGACGATTCCAATTTCACAGCGCGTGCAACCTCGATTTGACGAAGCCTCAACCCTAGCTAAGTTTATTATCCATAGGAATAGCGAATTCCACCGAATACTGCCACCATTCGATTTAATATCGTTAACAGTTTACCCCCTTAATTTGACACTGTTATAATCAAAATAGTCGCCAGTTTTGAATATCAATTACGTAGGTACAACAAAACGGAGAAATTGTGTAATGCGAAACGTGTATTAAACTTCGAGATAAGGACACGAAACTGTTCGATTCTCAGTTGACTTAATTGAAAACTAGTTTTAATTTACATTGAAATACACTTATTCCTTATTATCATGTACTTATTAATGTCCCCATTTCGGGTACAGTCATTATGACTCAAATTAAATAGAGAGAACAATGTAATAAACTGAATATGCTATGAAAATTACGATGGTATCTGTTAATAATTATTGAAATGTGCCATACAATAATTTCATGATTGTCACGTACAATAGAAACGTATAATTAATTACTCAACTGAAACGCAAAATGGAAATGTTTAATATAAAATAATATCTGTTAATATATAAAAATTAATACAATTTTATTTTAATTAAAACTCACTTTAAAATTAATTATCCCACATGCACATATTAAGTAGAGAAAGAAAGTATATATCTCCATTTGAATTTATTATTTTTTATCAAAACATTCTATTTTACAAATTATATTATTAAATTTTACATAAATAAAACGCTTCCCTGTTATCCTTATAATTTTGCTATCTAAATAACTTTTCATTTAAGAAATCATAAATTAAGATTACTTTCAATTAAAAATAATATAGTAGCTCGGTGTTAAGATTGTAAAGGATTTATCACTAAAAATGATAATAAACTAATGTCAGATATTTTAATAAAGTATGTTAGCAATATTAAATTAACATTAATTTCAAAATAATTATCGGTAATAAAGCGTGATTAATTCAATATTACAAAATTATGACGTACACAGAAATGCCAACATACACGTCTTATATTTTAATTTTCCCGAAGCTTAAATCCCTAACGTTCTAATAAAGACAAACCTGCATTATTTCCCTTTCCATGTCTCGCCCTAGCGTAAAACGAACATCAAGTCAACATATTAAAACACTGAATTTAAATATAAAAATATTTATTAAAATACTGATTTATAATTAAATACTTAAAAACTAGGATATCACTTTAAACAGCCAAGTCGTTTCCGTGGGGTATGACATTATCTTTTTCAGTAACCAGTTCGCGATCAGATGTCGTTGTCTGTTCTCTTTTGTCGTCTTCCGAATCGATTGGCGATGCGGTCGTGGTCGAATCTTCTTTCTGGTATGGGACACCAGTTTCAGTAATTGGCACTTCCCTCTCGGCTGACTCACTAGTGCTCTCGGTTGCGCCGCCAATAGGTGCACTGACAACTAGGAATCCATCACTTGATAACTCAGCGGTCACCGCAGAAGCGGTAGAATTAACCGGTAACGTGTAAGTATGGAAGAACTGGCTCGCGAAAATATCACGGTCGTCCTGTTTCGCTTCGTGCGATCCCTGCACGAAGATAAAGTCTCCCTTGACCTTCACCTTCAAATCTTCCTTCTTGTAGTCCTTCACGTTCACGATTACTTGGAATTTATTGTCGTCTGCTACGATTCTAGGACCGATGTCAGCGAAAGTCGGGAAAAGTTTCCATAGCGGCGCAAAGAGACTTCCGAAAACTGGGAACGTGAACCATGGTGCGTCGTCGATGTCTGTTTCTGTGATTGTTGTGATGGGGCGGGGTACAGCCGGCTTGTCTGTTGCCGGTAACGCGGCTGCCGCTGTCAAAACAGCGGCGATCGCTAGGAAGCGCGATGAGAACATTTTGTTTGGACGGACGTGTGCACAGTACTATGCGGATATACGAACTGAGGCCGTCATGGCCGCTGGAGGCTATATACAGGAGGAGGGGTCGGCGCGGTGCGTGTGCGCATCGATCGTCGCATTCGTGTTTCTAGAATAACTATGCAGATGCGTCAGACACTATTTAATTTTTTTATTTTTCTCGTCCTCTGTGAAAAACTTAGCAAGTTTTTGTTAACTATTTTAACTGACTTTGAAAAGGATATTATCCTTGTGATTTTAATGGACACTTTTAACTTATTATAATTATTTTTATAAATAAACTCATTATTATAATCTAGCTTATGTTTTACTATAATTCAACTTGATTATTATATTTACTTAGGAAATTCCCAATAAAATACTATAAAAATTAAAAGACTGTCAAAAGTGCTTTAATGCGGTACCCGATGGTAGGATCAGATCAGACAAGAGGCAGGCTCACATGGTGGTAAATAGTACAGGATAGAGAGAAGTGGACATCCATAGAGGAAGTCTTTAACCGACTTGGGGACCTTGTTTAAAGAAATAAAAGCATTCAGTTTAGTTAGAAACGAAAAACGCAAATAATCTAACAAATATTCAGTAATTTTAATTAGCAACTAAGATGTAAATTGGGATGATTAAATAAAAGGTTTTTTTTATTTTACTAGTTTACTTGTGAAGTAAAAGAGGTTGAGAGAATTTGGGTAAGGATCTTAAGGCATCAAGTGGTCTTAATCCAATACTGGACACATGTAGTTTTCAACTTATAATTACAACTTATTTGGAAATTTGTAAACACGAATTAAGTGCAAGGCTCTCTCTTTTTAGTATTTTTTTTCTTTCTTACGTAGCGCATATAATAAAAAAGATCCCCGTCTGCGAATAAAATCATAACAAATGTATTCTTTGACACGACGTCATGCGACCTTCGAAGGCAGGCTTCTAGAGTTCTCTCCAATCATCAAATTAGCTCATTTTCTAGTTGAAGATTACTGTGGTTCTACGTGATACCCGCCGCATGAATAAGCCCCAGCCATCGTGATAACACAATAGAATGACACATTCGCTTGTTCCATAATACTGGAACCATAATAAGGAAAATATTACGTTTTAAAGTTGAGTTTTCACTAACTCTTGCGTTTTTTATCAGTTAAAGATACTAGATAGAAAATTAGTATCTAATTTCATCTATTGATTTACAACTAAACCCATTTATTAATGGGTTTAAATTGCTCCTAAACTGCTATATCTCAACTGGATCGGACCAACATTTTTTTTTAATATTAATATCTATATTATCATCATCATCATCATCAAAAGAAATAAAAGTATTGAACAACATATATAAGTAGTACCTTAGCTAATTTGGAATCTATTGTAACACAAAAAATAACACACATTGCTGTGTGTGCTGTTAAATTGAAAAGATCTTCTATCTTTCATTCCATCCAGTATATAAGTAATAAACACAACTTATTACTAATATACTGGATTTCATTAAATAAGGCATGCGATAGTAAAATATATTGTGTTATGTATGTGGTTAAAGTGGGCGTACCGGGTAAGCGTAATTTTTAAAATATTAAGGGCCTGAACTACGTTATGCTCACACTCGAACTAATTTAAGTCGAGGTTTTACGATATTATCACTTTCTAAGCCAATTTTATTAGGAGGCTGTGATAAAATTTGCGAAAAAAATCGTTTTATGAAAATAAAGCATATAATCGATTGCTTCCTAAAACAGCAGCAATAATCTAGTAGTAGTTTTTGGATACTAGATATTTCAATATAACTGTATAGTTACGATTTATATTCACTGTATAATGAATATACTAAAATAGGTTTTGATATTTTCTTTTGAGCACAAGAAAAAACTTATTTGCTGCATTTTATACAAGAAGGCCTTAAAATTGTATTTCAACACAGAAAGCTAAAATATAATATCGTTAGAACTGCAGTGACTGAGGACTAAGGAGTCCGATAGTGACGGTATCGATACGATCGCCCGTTGCGGCACCCGCTAAATGCACTTTAGGCCTCAATGAACCATTTACACGAGGTTGAAATATATTTTTTTTTATGGTATAGGGGGCAGACGAGCAGACGGATCACCTGATGGTAAGTGATTACCGTCGCCCATGGACACCTGCAACACCAGAGGGGCTACAAGCGCGCTGCCGGCCTTGGAGGGAAGGCCGGCAGCGTGCTTGTAGCCCCTCGCGCTTGAAGGTTGAGAGATAGAGAGAAGGGAATAGGAAGGGGTTGGGCCTCCGGTACCCTCACTCACACGACGAAACACAACGCAAGCGTTGCTTCACGTCGGTTTTCTGAGAGGCCGTGGTATCACTCCGGTCGAGCCGGCCCATTCATGCCGAAGCGTGGCTCTCCCACGGTTATCCAGTAAACAAGTCTAGTAAAATTAGAAACAGTTCTATTTCACTGGACTGGCTCGAGGATTCTCTACATTTACTCGAGGTCGGTATTGGCATGACTTACTGGACTGTCTCGGCTACTGGCTAAATGGTCAGTCTTGTCAGTCAATCAATGAGCAGTCTCTTGACATTATAGGTATCTATTTACTGTTCTTGTTATATGCAACTACACTCGCTAACACCTACCAAACCACATCGGGCTCATAGTGAATTAAGATACCTACGGCAATGAATACACTTATTAATACAAATTCCCGTTGAAACTATACTCATACATGTATATCACCGATAGATCCGTCGTGTTGTGCATATGTGAGTAAAGTTCGAAGATAAATGAAAGTATTTTGGCACGAAATTTCAAAGAGGACCTTTTTAAAACACGTCCTTAATTGCTGTAAGCACCTTATGACTTTTCCCTGTGATTTTCCTTATTTCCTTATGATTCTAATCTAAATATATATAACTCAAAGGTGACCGACTGACATAGAGATCTATCAACGCACAGCCCAAACCACTGGATTGTTCGGACTGAAATTTGGCATGGAGGTAGATGTTATGACGTAGGAATCCGCTAAGAAAGGATTTTGATCAATTCTATCCCTAAATTTTGTTAATTGGATAAAATTTTGTATGAAACCTTGTCAATTTAAAACCGATCGGGCTGAGACTTTGCATGCATAAAACTACTATGACGTAGGCCCTAAGAAAGAATTTTGATAAATTCCACCCCTTAGGGGATAAAATAGGGGATCAAAATTGGTATAAATCCTCTTAGATTTTCGACTGATTGAGCTGAAATTCAAGATTGGAGCTACTATGATGAAGATGTCCGCTTAAATTGGATTTTGATAAATTCAATCCCCATGGGCATAAGATAAGGGATGATAGAGGATATAAATGTATTTGGTTGAACCTATCAGTACCTAATGGTACGAATAAATAAATATTCGTTATAAATGCTGCTCAAAGTAACTTTACCACGCGGACGAAGTCGCGGGCAAAAACTAGTCGTATATAAGGATAATGTAGCAGAAACGGAGTCGTCAATAAACAGGTGACTCAAAACGAGTTTTGTATGATGGAAATGTTCGTGTTAAATCTTCGATGATTTAATTATTGCAGGAACTAATGTTAACCTTGTAGGTAGTTAGATAAGTGCAAATGTAAATATATAAATACTTTATAGTTGGTACGTTAGAATACCAGTTTGCTTTAAAAAATTATCACGTGCATTAGAACGACGATACATTACAAAACTCACGTAAATGAGAAATTAAAACAAAACACGTACCACAGATATAGGCACAAACGTGTATTACAGACATGTCTGTATGCTAAAACTTAGAAAAAAATGAGTAAGCAAAATTTATAGTTTGTATACATACAATTATTTTTTAACGCGCATTTTTATTGAATGATAGAACCGCATGCGGCATACGGGAGCTTTCTGTACCGCATGACATATCCTACACTAGTCGAGGGGACGAACGTTTGCAATGCGAAAGATATTTGTAATTTAATAAAATCATTGTTGCAATTTGTTTCCCCCGCATGAGATACATCTACTATTAAAAATTACCATTTTTAACTTGTTTGTAGTATAATTTAAACGTTAGAAAACCATTCGTTTATTTTATTTTAAAAAATACATATATATAAATAATATAAAACAAAGTCAAATGACTTTGTCTGTACGTTTAGATCTTTTAGACGACGGAATCGAGTAGGAAGAATGGGCCATGACCATTCCATGACCATGACCATGACCATGACCATGTGACCATTTTTTTTTCGTGTCAAAACGGGACGCCTGCGGAACTTTATATATGAATATAAAAATATCTATGTCGATGTAAAATGCCATATTTAAAAGCTAAATACAAATTATGGTTTAAAATGTGACTTAATAGTTGTGCTATCTTACCGTCACTGGCACGCTCAGGAGTTTTTGTGAATTTTTAATGTAGACAAGTAACTAACTAGGTATATAAAGGTTTGTTTGTTAAAGGAACATTTTTATTCTCTTTGGGGACAGCGGGACGAATAACCTGAAAGCGTGACAATCCCGCCCAAAGCAGGACGTATGGTCACATTAGTCTCGACCCACCACTCGGCCCATTGCGTTACTGGTGGGTCTTAACAACCGCAGATGCCAACATCCGTGACCAACGACTTAACGTACCTTCCTTCAAGGAGGAGCTCGAGATGATGATTTTTTAGTCACCCATCCTGTAAATGGACCTTGCTATACAAAAGTTTCTTTATTTTCTGAATTATTTTTAACTCTTATTAAATTGAAATAACTTAATGATAATTTTGGTAATTTTTAAATTATATTTCAACTGTAAAAATAATAACGCTTTATTAGTTTAAAACGAAAGAAAATTATATTGTTATTTATTTTAAGTTTATCTGACGTTAAGAAATTTGAATTAGATTCTTATAGGTCTTAAAATATTTGTAATCTGACCAAGTCGGCAGAATGTGTGTGCTCTCTTTGAAAAATAACATCATATCTGTGGCCACTTTCTTGAAAATAAATATCATTCCATTTAAAAAATTAACTGCACTACCGTTTGCAATGTCTGTACCGATATTAAATAATAAATA